AATTACTCCGCACTTACTATTTTATTAAGAGATAGTTTAATGGCAGAACAGTTAGTCATCATTACTGCATTGCTGCAGAGAGAAAGTATTTAAGGTAACAGACTCAAATTCTCATTATAAAGTAACTCACTAAATATAGAGTTGGTAAATTGAAATGATAAGATGTTTTAAAGAACTGTGGTTTGGGACTGGAGAGATGACTCAGTTGTTAAAGTACTTATTATACATGCATGAGAACTTGAGTTTGATTCCTAGAGCCCCTAGTTTTCTAGGCAATATACATTGTATTAGTTGTGGGATGTTTTAATCATATGCTGGTTGCCTAGTGATAGAGTTGTCAGGGCAACTGAACTGGTTGGCTAGGAAAGGTCATATTTTCATGAAGAGAAAATGGTTTAACTGACTTGTTCCTTCACTGTTTTGTTGTTCTTTGGTAACTGTTCCTTTAAAAATTCAAAAGGCTTTGACAGTCTTCAGATGCAGGAATGAATAAGTAGGCAGCATTTAGATAGGAGTGAATTCAAGTCATTCAGTGGGAAAGAAAATTCCGCAGGGTGGATGCTTACAGGGAAGTGCATCTGAGACCGCCCTCTGTTCTCCAGGCCCACCTGCAGCACCAGTCTCCCCCACAAACTTGTCAGAAGTACAGATTCCCAGGGTTTTCCTGTCAGAAACTCAGTGAGGTGATGGGCAGGCTCAGCCGTCTAGTTTAATGTGCCTCCTAGGTGATGATGATGCCAACACCAAACAGGAAGTAGAACGCATACTCAAACTCTGTCCCCAATGACATACTTCCTCCAGCAAGACCATACCTCCTAATCCTCTGAAAAGCTATAAACTGGGGGCCAGGTACTCAAATGTCCAGGGCTTACTCAGAGTATCTCATTCAAACCGCCACATTCCTGGCCCCCAAGTCTTGTAGCCGAATCACAGTCTTAATTATATAAAAGCTCAGAAATGCAAGTAAGACTTTAAAGAAATGTAAAAGACTATAATTAATGAGTGAGTTCAGCCCTGTGAGGAAGAAATAGTTGCAAATAGGGAGCGTTTTAGAGCATAAACATTTGTCTGGTTAGACCCACCCTTAAAACAACATACTGCGTGGTATGCAGATTGATGACTTAAAGTGACCAGGAACCTAACCCGTTCCTGAGAACCAATTTTATTAATAGACTTTTAGAGTGTACTTGGTAAATGTTCTTAATGGTTCCTCCATAGGAAGGGAACTTAATTTTTTGTACGTAGCTGTATTTAATATTCAAAATTTCAAGATAAAATTTAAAAAAGCTACAATATTTTGGTTAAATTTATTTTTTTATAAAATTAGTCTCATGTAACATTTTCACTGAGTTCTTTGAGGGAGTATTTATAAAAGGTAGTTTGAGTAAGTTGATTTCACAATGCCACTAAGAAATTTTAGTGATGCCAAGGTTTGTAAAGATGTAAAAATGCCCATAAGAATTGAAATCAAACCTAATAATAAATGCTACACAACACAGCTGATGAATAATAATTATAAAAATGTAGTGTAATTGGTGATTTATCTACTAAAGGTTTGAAATGAATGTTCACTCTGTGGCAGCACAGGGTGCTATAATATTAGGACTTTTATCTACAAAATATTAAAGCTAATATATAGCTGTTCTTTGGCTAAAATTTGTCTATGTTTATTAAAGATTTCCAAAATGAATTCTGCCTTACTTATTGGAATATGATTAAATTGTCCGATGTTATGCTAGAGAAATTTTTATTTGATTTTTTTCTTTGATCATCTTAGTTTATTTTTGATAAATTTCATGTGAAAAATTATAATCTTCTTTAGAATTTGAATGTTGCCCTAGTTCTTCTTTTACAAAAAGTTCTTTATTATATAGCAGTCCTTGACCTACATTTGCTGGTATACTCAGGTTCATTGATGTCTCTGCTTTTTTCTGTGCTTTATACTAGTGAGCATGAAAGTACTTGTCACCCTGTAAATCTGTTTATATCCATGACAGGACTTTCCTCCTTGGACAAGACAGTCATATCAGATCATCTCAAAGGAAAATGGGTGCATTGGTTTTTCTTGGATTGTTAATCTACTTAAGATTCATTGAAGGAAAGAGACTGGGATCGTGTGTGTGTGTGTATGTTCTAAGATTTATGCATTTTGGGCTCACCAATTAAGAACTGCTCTTCCAGAAAACCCGGGTTCAATTCCCAATATCCACAAGAGTTGGTTTCTGTAATAACTATTTCAGCCAATTTACCCACACTCTGTAGTTTAGCATACGTGTTTCTTACCCTGTGCTCCATCACACTTAAATAGAGGAAGGATCGCCAGTGATCAGTCCTGTAAGTATACTGATGGGTTCTCGCTTGTTACTGCTGGAACACGGCAGGTGTCACATGTCGGTATAGCCATAAACACACTTCAAGTGTTTATTGATCTTTTGTATTTCTTCTTTGAAAATTATTTATTCACCTCATTTTGATCTTTTGCTTATTGGATGATTTGGTTTTTTATTTTTTATGGATTGTAAATAATAATTCCCACTGACATATTTAGTTCTCAGAAATTCATTCTGTAGTCCCAATCTTCACTCTGCTCATCATTTCCTTTGCTGTTGAGAAGCTTTTTAATTTCGTGCGATCACAGTGGTCAACTGTCAGTTCTTGGGTCATTTCCCGTTCTATTTGAGTCCTTTACAGAGGGCCCTTCATATGCTTATATTTTCACCTAGCACTTTCATTCTCAGGTTTAGCGAGGGTCTTTGAAGTATTCTGAATTGTTTTGCATGCGGACAGAGAAACAGCTTTGCTTTCATTCTTTAAAATGTCAATGTTCTGCTTTAATAGCACAAGTGCTGCCTTTTTCCCCCCAGTGTATATTTCTGACTCCTTTGTCAAAGACTGGGTATCTAGTGACATTTGGATTTATTTATGGGTTCTATATTCTATATTTGGTCAGTGTGTTTTTTTCTGCTGCTACAGTGTTGATCGTGTTACTGTGGCTTTGTAATATAGTTTGAGAGCTGGAATTGAGATACCTTTGATAGAGCCTTTTCTGTTTTGGTTGCTGTGGTTGGGACTGGAGAGATAGGTCAGCAGTTAATAGCACTTCTTTTTTTTTTTTCTTTCCTTCTCTTTTTGGGGGGTTTCTAGATAGAGTTTTTCTGTAACAGCCCCAGCTGTCCTGGAACTAGCTCTTACAGATCAGGCTGGCCTCGAACTCACAGATATCCTCCTGCCTCTGACTCCCAAGTGCTGGGATTAAAGGCGTGTGCCACCACTGCCTGGCTAGACTTCTGGTCTTTATGGTAAATAAAAGTATTGCTCCATGAATGAAAATGTCCTGGTGACCTAGTGACTATTTTTCCACTAGAGACAACTAATATTTACTAAAGTTCTTTGATATTAACCTATTTATCTTGAGGTGAACCAAACTCATGCCTTGTAAGCACCAAACAAGTGCTACAACACTGAACTTTAGTGCACTGCAAAGTCCAGAGTTTCTATGGCTGGGGAAAACTTACTTAAATCTCGTTCATAGTTTTCATGTCTAAAATGTCTCATTAAATGAATTAATGGTGTTTCATTTTGAAAGTACGTAGCTTAGCTTCCAGACGTCTTTAGATATAAACATGGCATGATGTTGGTGTATTTGGATGATGTTATATCACATTTTAAAGCTTCTCTTTGCTTTTTTTTTGCTCTTTAGCCGGCCCCAGAAAGTATGCTTGTGTCCGTATCTACCAGTGTACCCACTCCAGATCTCCACCCATCTGTACATAATTCAGCATCCAGCAGAGGTGAGTTAAAGTTCGTAAGTGGTTTGTCTTCAGATGGAGTCTTGAGTGCAGCAGAGAGCACATGCATGTAAACATGCTCATTCCTCAAGGTTGTGTAGTGTCTCAGAAACACCACTATTGCTGATAAGTATTTGCTTTATCTTTCAGATGATAGTAGAGAGTCAATGCTTGAGGCAATGTTTCATACAACTCTGCTGCTGTGAGGTAGACATTTAGAGCTCCAGCAGGTTTGTAAGATGAAAAGATGCAATTTTGTGAATAAAGAGCTGAGAAAAATGACTGCTTTTAAAACTCTCGTCAGCATCTTGGCTCCCTGATGGCTTTTCTTGCTAGAGTAAATACTTATTTTGGCATTTTACTCTTACAAGATGGATATGCAAGTAAAATTTTCTTTCTTTTAGGTGGCTAGCACAAACGCTTTTAGTTTGTACTGTGCCATCTGTAAGGTTTTTTAGCTGACATTGTTCTACTCTGCTTAGGGTTAGATATGTGCCAATGTGTATGTGTGTTTGTTAGTTTTGATTTGTGACGAGGAGATGTAAGGAGACTACAGGCAATTATAAATTAGTTAATACAAAACTACTCAGTGCATGATGTAAACAGATTTAGTGGTAACCCAAGTGAGAACTCTTTTACCTCTTTAAAAAAAACTTTGTATAGCGTATGCAAAGACACAGGGAGATGTAAAATAAATTAGCCTTTTCTGTTTTGTGAATGATGAATACTGTTTCTTTGTTGCAAATTATTTGTTGACAGCTCCTCTCCTTGACAGCAGGCTCTTATGATTCTGGTAACTTTGTCACTGAATTATTACTGCAGTTAAAATTATAAGACTGTACAACTTACATTTACAGAAAACAAATTGTTATGGTCATACAGGATTAAAACCTGAATTTTGGTTATTATTGTTTCCATATTATGATGCAGATATGGTACTTTTCCATTATTATGTTGTCTGATGGTATGAGATGTCCTTCAAAATACAGCTTTAAAAATTGATTTGTGCTAATTTTTGTATTTTGAAATCTCTTACAGTTTTTTCAAAACCACAGTCCCCACTTTAGATGACCAGTTTAAGACTGTGTCCACTATGGATGTGTTTTATGACTAGACAGGTACATCCAGATTGATCTTCCCTATCAGCAAAGGGACTTTCTCTTGTTCACCAGGCTGCTTGTGTGTAACTTTAGCACACTACTTTGTATAAACAGATTTGACAGTTTCATGGTTCTCCCATAAAAATGAGACTGAAAAGCATTTGGATGGGTTCCAGGAGAGAGATGTGGTGGAGAGGATTATGTGACCTAAGGCACAGTGGCTATCTGGTTGCCTCCACAGGACTAGCAATAGAGTTGTGGTAACAAGAAAACTTGTTCTTAACAGTGGAAGCTAAGATACTGAAGACAACCACTGATTGTTGTAGTGCGATTTCTAATTGGTCTTAATAATAACAACCTGGAGTCAGTATTGGGGTGGAAAGCTGAAAGATCAGAGAAGCAGGGCAGCCAGTCACTAATTCTTACCTCTATGAAATCCTCAGACCGAATGGGGTATCCTGTCTCTACAAGTCCTCAGACTGAATGCCATGAGCTCCTGTCTCTTCCTGTCTTATATTCCTCTCTTCCACCCAGCCATATCACTCCTGTCTCCACTTCCGAAGTGCTGGGATCAAAGGTGTGAGCTCTATTTCTCTTTTAGATGGATTCAGTCTTGAGTAGTCCAGGGTGGCCTTGAACTCAGAGATTCACCTGCTTAGTCTCCCAAGTGCTAGGATTAAAGGCGTATGCCAGCACTGCCTGGCCTCTGACTTCCCACTGTCATCTTCTGGCAAGCTTTATTTGTTATAGCACAAACAAACTATCACTACAGATGGTGGTCAGCTTTGTGCTTGGGTCTGAATCCTGAAAGTGCAGCCCACTTCCATGGGAGGAGGAAGGAAGCTTTCTGGAGTGGGCAGTGTTTTCCCTGGGGACTTAGAGTTGTGTAAGAAAGCTACTTCCCTTTCTCTCATTAGTTAGTTATTAATTTTCAGGTAGCAGTGTGGAGACTTTTGTATTTTGTATTAGATTCTAATATTTGTTGCTTAAACTGTTCCATTTGGCCATTAGTAAGTCTCTAAATTTGTGGCTCTGTTGTTTTGACATGTACTTTGTTTTATATTTTGCATATGTTGCTACTTTTTTGGTATAGAGATACAGGCTATCATCTGCAAGCTGATATGTTCAAAATGTAATTACTGTTGAAATAAAAAGCTTATCAGAATAAATTATTCAGTTTAACACAAAATTATGTGCATTTATAATTTATTTAGTTTGTTGCTAATATGTATTAACAATATGTATTAATAATATGTATTATATATAACAGTGGATTTTATTATGGCATTTGCATACATATCTATAAAGTATTTTCCCCCTATAATTTAAAATTCTAACCATTAGCCTATAAATATATCTAAATAAATTTTAAAAGTATGCTTATGTTATGCCTAATACTGGTAAATTAGAGAAATGTTATTGCTTCTTAAAGTCTGGTTTTAGGTAAAAGATCTGTAAAAATATATAAAATTAGAAACCAAATGTTTCTCAGAAAAGTTTTTTTTCCTGCAACACTGCTGCTGACACTCAGTTCCCTGTACCTGTGCGCAAGTACTTGATCACTCAGTTCCAGGAAAGTTTTAAAAGTGTTCACCTGGGTAATGACTCCATCTTTTAATTTTTCTTTAAAGGAAAGTAAAGTGCTGCGCACGGTCCCTCTGCTAGCAGCATGCCTGCCCCCTGACAAGTGCACAGTAAAGATTGGCCGCCGCTTCAGTGAAGAGCGGTAAGTGAGCAGACTGTGGGCAGTTGGGAGCAGGTCTTTCCCACATAGACGTTTCTTTGGGAGGGTTAAAAACGATGTCACTGGTCATTGGCTAGGAAAGACTTGGCAGGAAGAACTGTGGCTGAGGAGACAGCATGCCAAGCACCAGATCCAGAGGCTTTTGGGTAACCTTTGAACTGGCGCTTCCGTTTGATTGGACAGATTTCCTTGAGAGGGCAGCTTTGCTTAGGCAATCACTAAGTGTATTAAATTTTTGTTTTTCCTATACCTAATAAAGATATCTTAAAAATTATTGTTTTAGAGATATTGAACTTTCAACTGTTTGCCGGGACTCTGGTACATTAATATTATATCCAGGGGCTGAAGCTACTAATTTGGAAGAATTTATATTAGATTCTCCTGTTTATCCTTCCACAATCATCATCATTGATGGTACATGGAGCCAGGCTAAAGACATTTTCTATAAGAATTCCTTGTTCCGACTTCCCAAACAGGTAAACTAATACTTTAACAAAGAATAAGTACAATTGTACAATTACATGCTATTTAGGCTTTTGGTAAATATATACATATATTTACATATACAAACTTATATGTATATATATTTGCCATATTCTCTAATAATATGCTTTAAGTTGATTTATGTTTATGAATGTATGCACATACAAATCTCTGTTGTAAGTATATATACTTACATAAGTGAGTACATATACTTATATTGTATATAAAGAAAATTTCGAATGTGTCATCTCTTTATATGTGTATAAATGATTTTGTTAGGAAATGTTATTTAAATACATAGTTACTTATAAGTAATGATTAAACTTTTGCAAGGTACTTTTGGGGTAGATATTATTATCATCATATGGTTTGTCCTTTATTTTTCATTTTAAAAGCTTTTTTTTTTTTAACATTGTGTGTGTGTGTGTGTGTGTGTGTGTGTATACACAGCAGTTTGTGGGTCCTGGGAATCTAACTCAGGTTGTCAGGCTTGGTGGGAAGTGCCCTTTCCTTCTGAGCCATCTCTCCAGTCCTGTTTGATATGATTTGTTGTAATCATAGGGTTTGAAATATTCAACTGTGTTTGTGTTTTGGGAGTGAACTTTCCTGACTGTTAACATTTTGTATTCAGCTGGAGCTAGGATTTTGTGTAATGTATTAAACTGTCATGCACATGGTTTTCATATTTTTCCCTGGTAAGTTTGAGTTCTAAGGTTTTCCAGCTTCACAGGATAAAAAGAATAAATATTTCTCTGTAGCCTAGAATAGTTACTCATAGAATTAGACCCTCCATAGAAATAAGATGGAATGCTTTGGTAAAGCTGTCTGCTCTGGGTACTTTTAAATCCCTTCAGACTCTCCTGCAGAGACTTCAAGCTTTCTATTTACATTTGCCTTTTTTACTTCAGCAATTTTTTCTTGATCAATTTTTCAGTTGCATTTTAATTGACATAATACTTGCACATGGAATACCTATGGTTCTCTGGGGTATTATACATTGCTTAATGATCAAATTAGTGTGTTGGGTCCCATTACCTCAAGTATTATCTCTCTGTATTGAGAACCTTTCCTTAAGTAGCAACTGTTTCTTTGTGTCGAGAACATTCAGATTTGTTTTTCAGCTATTTTGAAGATTGGCTGTTGTTGACTGGAGCACTGTGCTGTGTGACATACCATGAGAACTTACTCCTTCCTTCTCTCTCTAACTTTGTTGGCTGGCCTCTTTCCCCTCCTCTCTTTCCCACTTATTATTTGACCTCGAATTCTGTAATAAACTTTTTTAGGTTTCACAGGAGTGTGATGAGATGGTATGATGGTGTCTGACTGTTTTACCCAGGATGGTGTTGTCAGTGTTCATCATGTTCCTGCAGTTAACCAGGCTTCATTCTCCTTTGCAGCTGACTCATGTCACATCTGGAGGACACTGTCTTTCTTCTTCCCTGGAAAGTTTTTTCTGTTCTCACTTGGTTAACACAGAGTGTTTTAATTTGTGTGTATCTTACTCAGTTTTTAAACATAACATCACTGGGTATAGCATTTTTGGTTCATAATTATTTGCTTTCTGAGGTTGAAATATTTCACTTCATGTTTTTTGAAGTTTTAGAATTACTGATGGAAGGTCTGGTTATTGTGGTGTTCCTGCCTTTGTATGTGCCTTCACAATTTTCTCATACTACTTTTAGCATTGTTTCTTTGTATTTTTGACATCTTGACTATGATGTATCATGGAAAGTTCTTCTCTGGCCATGTCTATTTGTGGCATATATGAAGAAAAATATCCATTTCTTTTTGATTTTTCAATTTGGTGAAGTATAGGTTTTTTGAGTATGTCCTTGTTATTCTCTGGATTTTCTTGGTGTCTGTTGTTATAACCCCCTTTCCATCTCTAATTTTGTTAGTTTGGATAGTCTCCCTTTACCTCTTAGTTAATTTGAATAAGGGTTTGTCAATCTTACTGATTTTTTTTTTTAAAGAACCAACTCTATTTTATTGATTCATTAGTTGTATTGTTAGTTCGTTTCTATTTTACTTATTTCAGCTCTGAGTTTGAGTATTTCTTGCCATCTACTTGTTTTGGGTGTGATTTCTTCTTTTTGTTCTAGACCTTTCAAGTATTCTGTAAAGTTACTAGTATGAGGTTTCTCCAATTATTTAAATGTAGACAGTACTATAAACAGCTCTTCCAACTGCTTTCAATATGTCCCATAAGTTTGGGTATGTTGTGTATTCATTTGCATGTAGTTCTAGAAAGTCTTTAATTCCTTTCTTAATCTATGTCTTGACCCATTTTTTTTTTCATTCAGTAGTAAGTTATTCAGTTTCCATGAGTTTGTAAGCTTTCTGATGTTTCTGTTGTTGTTGATATCCAGCTGGAATATACAACAGTCATCCTGAGACACCTTTTTTTTTTTTATCACTTTTCTGATTTTTTTTTTTTTTTTTGGTTTTTCGAGGCAGGGTTTCTTTGTGTACCCTTGGCTGTCCTAGAACAAGCTCTGTAGCTCAAGCTGGCCTCAAACTCACAGTGATTGGCCTGTCTCTGCCTCCTCTAAAATGCTGGGATTGAAGGTGTGTGCTTCCACTGCCCAGCTTGGATTCTTTTTTTTGTATTTATGTATTTACTTTTTTTTTTTTTTTATATCCTGACTACAGTTTACCCTCCTTCTTCTCCTCCCGTTCCCCTCACGCTCCCATCCACTCTTCCTCTGTTTCTCTTCAGAAAAGGGCAGTCCTTCCATGAATATCAACCAGCCATGGCATGTCAGATTGTAGTGAGACTAGGCACCTCCTCTCCTATTAGTGCTGGCTGAGAGAACTGGGTAGGAGGAAAGGTCCTAGAAGCAGGTAACAGAGTCAGATATACCAGCTTGTATTTTTTTTTCTTTTTTTGATTCATTGTGGATTTCACATCATGCATTCTGATCCCGCTTTTCTCCATTCCTTTATCCTCCTTGTCCTCTCTCTGCCCTTGCAACCTCTCCCACCAAAAAAAAAAAAACAAATTTGAAAGAAAAATAAAAAATCAAACCAAACAAAGAAACAAAACAAAAACAAAAAAGAAGAATCCTACCGTGAAAGCTGGAGGTGGGCTTTGAGGTCTCATATATGCTCTAGCTATGCCCAGTATTGTAGACCACTTCTTGTTGCCTGCAGGATCAAGATGTAGCTCCTCTAGCATCATGTCTGCCTGCATGTCATCATGTCCCACCATGATGCTTATGGACTAAACCTCTGAAAAATGTAAGCCACCCATTTAGATGCTTTCCTTTGTAAGAATTGCTGTGGTCATGGTGTCTCTTCACAGCAATTGAAACTTTAAGACACCAGCATTCAGGCAAACACCTAGCCAGCACAGGGACCCTGTGACCATATATTGCTATGTCATGCGTTGTGTGGCTTCTTAGGGCTCTGTATACATGAGCAGGCTTTCCCTTGTAAGTAAGCTCTTCCCACCTGTTCACCCCCTTTCAACGCCCCCTTCTCATCAATCGACACTTCCTCTTACCTCCACCTTTTCCTGATAAACTTCCATGTGGGTTTGTTGAGCTCTGAGACTCATTCTTTACTGCAGCAGCTGCAGCCTAACAACAGTTGGTACCAAGAATTGGGGTATTGTTTTGATAGACCCGAGCTTTTGTTCGGAGGAATTTGGGTTTTGATTCTTTAGGTTAGGAAAGCAGTGGAATGCTTTAAGTACTGCTTAATGGGCCATACCAGTAGGAACATGGAAGACAGTGGTACTGAGAATGATTTGAACTGTAGGGGCCTGGTTCAAGAGGTTTCAGAGAAGAAGAATTTTAGTATGTTGCATAGAAATTATTATAGTGATAGTTGGGTGAAGAAAGTGGCTATCTTTTGCCCTTGTCTGAAGAGTCTGCCTGAGGCTAAAGTGAAGAATTTTGGATTAATTCTATTCTATTAGTTGGATGGAGGCAGCTTGTTGGTTTCTGGCCTCTTAGCCACGAAATTATTGCACAGAAACTGTATCAGTTAAATCACTGCTTGGCCCATTAGCTTTAGCTTCTTATTGGCTAACTTGTACATATTAATTTAACCCATTTCTATTAATCTGTGTATTGCCACGTGGCTGTGGCTTACCGGCTAAAGTTTAGTGTCTATCTCCTCTCTGGAGAGTGACGTGGCTTCGCCTGACTCCGCCCTTTCTCCCCACATTCAGTTTAGTCCTGTGTCCATCCTACTGTCTCCAGCCCCCACCCCACCTACCTCTATTCTATCCTATTAGACCAAGCCAGTTTCTTTATTTACCATTGGTATTCATAGCATACAGAAGGGAATCCAACATCAATAGTTTGATGACGGAAGTGACTATCTTTTGCCCTTTTGCGAAGAGTCTGCCTGAGGCTAAAGTGAAGAATTTTGGATTAATTCTATTGGTAGAGAAAATCTCAAAACAGCCTAGTATAGACTCTGTTGTGTGGTTATTAGTGGTAACTCTAATGAAGATTTATAATGAAGAGGAGCAAGCTGAGTACCAGGAAGTGGATGGAACTAAGACTTGTGTTCAAGGAGATAAACAGATTAAGAAATGGAATAAAGAACATGGTGACCTCAGGGCAAGATCCCACCCAGCTAAGTTTCTAATTTGTGAAAAAGAATCAAAGAAAAGCCAGGTGCTGGTGGCGCACGCCTTTTATTCCAGCACTTGGGAGGCAGAGGTAGGCAGATCTCTGTGAGTTCAAGGCCAGCTTGGTCTATGAGCTAGTTCTAGTACATGCTCCAAAGCTACAGAGAAACCCTGTCTTGAAAAACCAAAAAAGAAAGAAAAGCTTAGAGCCAGGTGTGATGGTGCATGCCTTTAGTACCAGCGCTTGGAAAGCGAAAGCTGACAGATTTCTTGAGTTTGAGGCCAGCCTGGTCTACAGAGCAAATTCATGGAAAGCCAGTCTTAGGCAGTGAAGGAAACCATTGAGGACAGAAAACTGGCAAATATGTAACTGAACAAAAGAGCTGTGTTCCAGCCCCTGCAAGCAGA